GGCTCATGTCTGTAATCCCAGTACTTTGGGAGGCCAAGACAGGCAGATCATGAGGTCACGAGATCCAGACCATCCTGGCTAACACGGTGAAACCCCGTTTCTACTAAATATACAAAAAATTAGCCGGTCATAGTGGCGGGCGCCTGTAGTCCCAGCTACTAGGGAAGCTGAGGCAGGAGAATGGTGTGAAACTCGGGAGGGAGAGGTTGCAGTGAGCCGAGATTGCACCACTGCACTCCAGCCTGGGCGACAGAGCGAGACTCTGTCTCAAAAACAAAACAAAACAAAACAAAACAAAAAACAAAATCCTAATAACTGCACATCACCCCAGATGCCAATTAAATTGTCCCAGGTGGGGCCCAGGTGATGCTAACATGCAGACAGGGTTAAGAACTGCTGCTTTACAAGCTGGGCGGCCCTTGTGCCAAATGAGGCCCAGCTGACTCTGAGCTGCTGCACACCTATAATTTTTAGCTCAAATCTTTTAACTCTAATAGCTAACACACTTCAAAACCGGTAAATTAATATAACCGAATGCCACCAGGTGTCACGTGGCAGATTTGGATAAACTAAAACCATCAAAGTGGGCATGCATATAATTATTAAAATATTGAGCTCTTCAAGCTTGATTCCACTAAAACACCACCATACAACTGGGGGACTGAGAAGGAAAATAGGAACGACTCCAAAAGTTCTTGACTCACATTTGAGTCATATCCAATATTCCCATAATGAACTAGATTCACTCTTGTTTTCAACAACAAAAGAAATTAATGCTGCTGCCCACACACATATGAATTGCTAGTCAGGTAACCCACTTCTGAGAAAACCAGAATACCCTGCTTTAAAAGGACAGAAGAAAATTTGTTTTAGAAGCTCAGTGGGGGAGGAATCCAATTTCGTGGGCAGACTTACCTGTGTAGTAATGAACTGACCGGCCTCCCTTCCAGTGGACGGCATGCTGCTGGGCATGGACAAGGAGGTGTGGGAGATCACAGACATGTCTCACAACGTCATCTGAACCCAGGGGGAGTGGGAGCTCTTGGGCATCAACAAGGCCACCCCAAAGATGACCATGGGCAACAACCTATATGACCAGATCATGTTCTATGTGAGTCCAGGGGTGCCTATTTGACTTCTGATCCCAGCAGCTTCATGATTGTCCTCTTGACCTAATGCTCTTTGGGAAGTGAAAAAGAAGCTCCAGGCCAGGAGCAGTGGTTCACACCTGTAATCCCAACACTTTGGGAGGCCGAGGTGGGCGGATCACCTGAGGTCAGGAGTTCAAGACCAGCCTGGCCAACATGGTGAAACCCCGTCTCTACTAAAAAAAAAAAAAAAAAAAAATTAGCCAGGTGTGGTGGTACATGCCTGTAGTTCCAGCTACTCAGGAGGCTGAGACAGGAGAATCGCTTGAACCCAGGAGGTGGAGGCTGCAGTGAGCTGAGATAGTGCCCCTGCACTCCAGCCTGGGCAAGACAGTGAGACTCCGTCTCAAAAAAAAAAAAAAAAGTTCCAGAGGGTTGGGCGCCTGCTCCCCACTGCCCCATCTACCTAATTACCCTGAAGCAGGATCCCCAAGGCCTCCCCCGCTCCCCATTCACCCACTCCTCATTCACCCGCTCCTGCTCTGGAGAGGGGAGGAATGGCTGGACTGTAATAAGCCCTGCCACTCAGAATGGAACAGCTCACCCCTACTGCTCACAATGACTTCAAGGGTCCACTTGCACCTAAAATTATCCAGTCATTGTGTTCCTAGTAGGTTAAAAATGAATGCAAATTAGACAACAAATCAGAGGCCGCTATGTAGACGAGCACAATTAAATGTGCAAATGTTACTTAAAAAAATCGTCCCCAACAGCCTCACAGCACATTGGCAAGGATTAGGGGTCAGATATACAAATTGAGCCCTCTGCCATCTATTTATCTGCCATCTTCTCTGGTCTCTTTCCAGGTGGCCATCAGGCACAGGCCCAGCCTCTACATCATAAACCTGCTGGTGCCCAGTAGCTTTCTGATTGCCATTGACGCCCTCAGCTTCTACCTGCCAGCAGAGAGCGAGAATCACGCCCCATTCAAGATAACTTTTCTGCTGGGCTGCAAAGTCTTCCTGCTCATGATGAATGACTTGCTTCCTGCCAGTGGCACCCCCCTCATCAGTATGGCTCCTCCCACTTTCTGGAGGAGAAAAGGCACCCAGGGCCAGGGAGGAGGGCCAGGAGAAATGGCTGCTGCTCCGCCGAAGGAAGGAAGGAAGGGCCTGTGAAAGAAGACTGGATTTAGGAAAGAGGCATGAGAAATACTTACAGATAAATTTGCCTGGTTTACTTATAATTTGTTCTGCCCTCAGGTGTCTACTTCGCCCTGTCTCTCTCCCTGATGGTGGGCAGCCTGCTGGAGACCGTCTTCATTACCTACCAGCTGCACGTGGCCACCACCCAGCCCACACCCATGCCTCTGTGGTTCCACTCCCTGCTGCTCCACTGCACCAGCCCAGGGAGATGCTGTCCCACTGCGGCCTGGAAGGGAAATAAAGGCCTGGGTCTCACCCCCACCCACCTGCCTGGTGAGGGAAGTCAGCACTGCCCACACTCCTCTAATCCTGTCCCTTCTCACTTCAGGGCTGAGCCTCTGTCCTCTCCACAGGCACAAAGGAGGCGGGGGAGTTAACAGGGAAGCAGCTGGGACCCAGAGAGACCGAGCTAGATGGGGGCTCAGGATGCACAAAGACCCAGCTAATGGAGCAGTGGGTGCAGTTCAGCCACGCGATAGACACCCTGCTCTACCAGACTCACTTTCCTTATCTTAGCCACTTATCCCCAGTGACTACCATGTCCCCTTCTAAATTCCAAAAACTCCAGCACAGCACTACCAAGCAGGTTCGGTATGGCCCTGGACAATTTCCTGTCTGTTGCTCAGGCTGCTTATTCCTGCTCACCTTCAGTCTCCCTGAGCTACCACCTAACTCCTCACTGCCTGATCAATGGAAGTCCAGGTCAGTGGAGTCTCTCCTTGATCGATCACCCCAATAAACAACTTTCCAGGAAGCACTGGCTCTTCAGTTTGTTTGTTTATTTATTTATTTATTGAGACAGAGTCTTGCTCTGTCACCCAGC